CTTTAATTCTCATCGTAGAGCATTTCCCCCTGCCTTTCAACCATTTCTGTGGCTCTTCTTGGACTGCTTCCAATTTTTCAACTTCCTTTTTAATATATGGACACCAGAACTGAAATGCAGTATTCTAGTATTGGTCTCACCAGCCCCATAAGGGGAGGTAAAATCACTTCCCTATAAGCTACTGATAACTCACATTTATACATCCAAGGATCACAATAGCCGTTTTTGCCATAGTATCACAACGGAAACTCAAGTTCAGTTTTTTGTTACTTTTATTAATTAATTGGATAATGGGGTAGAAAGCATGCTTATAAAATGTACAGAATGGCACCAAGCTGAGGGGTTGCAGGCAGTTCAAAGGACAAGATGAGAATTCAAAATGACCTTGACAAGATGGAGAATAGGCGTGAAATCAAGATGAAATGTGATAGTCCAAATTGTAGGTTGGACCTCCCTGGTCTGGCACCCTTGGGACCTGACTGGTCCCAAATGAGAGAGTTTGCTGGACCATGGTAGGTCAATTCTAGCCCCATTGTTGCCAACCTGAGGGGCTGCTAGCCTTCAAGTCATCCTGGCCACTGGCCCTGGCTCCCAGGCTTCCCTCTACTCCTGACCTGGGTTGGGCTCCCCACTGTTAGCCCTTCTGCTGACAGGCTCCCACATGCTGAGGTGCTCAGGTCCAGCAACATGCCAGACCAGAGAGTCCTGGACCAGAAAGGTTCAACTTACATTTTGGAAGGAATAATCAAATGCACAAATAGAAAATGGGAAATAACTGACATGGTACCTCAGGAAAAGATCTCAGGTTTATTTTCAATCACAAATAGAATATAATCCAAAAAAAGCTAACCGTTCTTGGGGTGCATTACCAGGAGTATATAAGATACTGGAGGTTAGGTAACAGTCCTATTCTGCTCAGTGCTGGTACACCAGTTGGAGTAATTTGTGCACCAAACAGTGAAAAAGATGTTGACAAATTAGAGTCCAAAAGAAAGAACAAAATGATAAAAGATTTAGAAAAACCTGACCTATGAAGAAAATTAAAAAAAAAACTGGCATGTTTAGTTTTGGAAAAGAGGACTGAGAAGGGACCTGATGTGTGAAGAGCAGTTATAAAGAGGACTGTGATTAATTGTGCTCCCACTCCACTAAAGGTAGACAAAGCAGTAATGGACTTAATCTGCAGCAAGGGAAACTTCACTTGGATATTAGAAAGTTTTCATTAACTATGTAGGTAGTTAAATTCCAAGGGAGGCTGTGAAATCTGAACTGTTTGAGGTTTTTTAAAAACACTTGTGAGGGATAGTCAAATGGTATACTTGGTTCTGCCTCAGCAGCGGGGGATAGTCTGGGTAAGCTCTCGAAGTTTTGTTCAGCCCTATATTTCTCTGACCCTAAATCCTTTTCCAAGTCCCCGCTTTCCAGGATGCAGCTCTCTATTTGGTAGATATCATTAGAGCCCTACACAGATACAAATTTCTATCCATAGAGGCAGATATCCACAGATTTTAATTGGTATCTGCTGAACTGCAAGGCTCCCCTGGGAACCACAGCAGCAAAAGGAGCAGAATGTGGAGCCACTGCGCCTCATTTTGGCAGCTCGTCCTACATAGGTGTGCACCCCTATCCCCACCCTCTGAGGTAGAAAGGAGATGCATATAGCTGTGTGGAAGGGACGGAGGCTGGGCTGGGCTGGGCTGGGGTGGTACAGTTGTGCTAGAGGAGCTGTGACCTGCATGGAGCACTGGCTCCTAGGAGTGATGGCTCCATGTTCTGCTCCTTTTGTTGCTGTGGTTCCTGGGAAACCTCTGTAGTTTCACAGATACCAATTTATATTTACGGATGAACATTTATATATGCTCAGGGCTCTAAGTATTGCCTCCATTTGTTGTTCCTAGAGGTATTAAAACATATTTTGTTTTGAATCCAAATCTCTCTGCAGGGCCGTTCTGTCCTCATAATTATTTGCCACCCCTCCAATCTTTTGTCATTGACAGATTTTATCAGTAACGATTTTATATTTACTTCCCAGTCATCGGTGAAAATACTCAATAGTGTGGGGCTTTAGTTGCTCCCTGCAGAAGCTCACTAGAAACACTCAGGTTTAGTGATGACTCCCCATCAACAGCTTCTGGTTGAGACTTCTCGATTAGCCATTTCTTAATTCATATTACGTGCTTTATTGAATTTTTTTTAAAAAAACAAACACCTTAGCACTATATAGGGATGTAAAATCCCAGTTAATGAGTTAACTGGTTAAACATTAGCCTAATGTTTAACTGACTAGGTGGGATCTTGCAGCTTCACCCCCTAACCCATGGGGGTCCCACTCCCAGACCCCTTGCTCAGACTGGCTGTGTTGCAGCCAGCCTGGAGCAGCCTCCAGGGCAGGGCTGCCATGGACAGGAGCTGCTGCCGGCAAAGCGCTAGCACCTCTCCCCCACAAACAAGAGCTGCTCCAGACGCCCTGAGCAGCCCGTGTTGTGGCAGGCCTCGTGGGGCTGGAGAAATCCACAGCGGGCAAGAAGCTGCTCCAGCCCCCACTGGTTAACAGAAACTGGTAAGTATCACCTGTTAAGGGGGATGCTTACTGGTTAACCTTTCAGATCCCTAGCGCTATATAATATCACTCCGTCATGCAGTACTAAGTCCAAGTATATGTACTCTACATATGTTCTTAAACAAGATTAATTGTCCAGTATCTGAGCACCTTCGTGTAGAGCATCAAGCAGTTTGACTGCATGTTGCAGATGGTGTTCTTGTGGCGGCATCCCCAGGAATAGAAGCATGTGCAATTAAAATGTCTTTTCGCAATGATTTAGGTTTGGTTTTTATTATTTAACTCTACAAGTTGCTATGTAACTTGCTATTTAACTATACAAGTTAGAGAAGGCAAGGTCAAAGAAATTAGTCTTGCACTTGGAGCAGAAGGTGGCAAGGTTTATGATGCATTTTAGTTCCTGGGAGAGTTCATTCCACAGACCTGGGGTGACGTTGAAGAAAGTTTCTTCTACTGCACAAACAAATTTGACCCTTACTGTAAAGAGCTTGACTGTTCCTGAGGAGTTGTTGACTTTGATATCTGTTCCAGAGCATAGGAAATCTAGGTATCTTGAGACCAGTCCATTGAGTACCTTGAAGATAAGGACTGAGACTTGAACTTGATTCTGAATTCATTGGGAAACCAGTGTAGAGTGTGGAGGACAGATGTGCATGTGTTGCTGAGGAGATGATGAGCTGTGTTCTGTACTAATGAGAGTTGCCTAAATGTGGAAGGCTTTGTGCTCAGGAAACAGCACTGTGGTAGACAGCCTGAGAGGTGTGTCCACATAAATAGATGCCTCTATGAATCCACGGTAGGTCCTCATCTTGAATACTGCGTGCAGAAGTGATCACCCTGTCTCGAAGATATATTGGAATTGGGAAAGGTGTAGAAAAAGGCAATAGAAATGATTAGGTGTATGAGACAGTTTCCGTATGCATAGAGAGTAATAAAGGAGCAACTTTTCAGCTTGGAAAAGAGTTAAGGGTTACAGCGCCAAACTGAGAGACATGTCTCACCTGGCCAAATTGGAGTTCACAGCCCAGCCACCCAGCACTCAGAAAATAAATAAATCGATAGTGTCACCCTCTGAAACTATCATTAGTTGTTGTGGGTGCTCAAGAATTAATCTTTGGGTTGGAGATCGAGGGTGACTTAACACTTACCGTAATGTACCACCTTGTTCAAATCAACTCCTTCTTTGTTGAATTAAAAGTTTTAAGTTAATTTTTATCTCATTCACTCACATGAATTTGATGAAATTTCTAAAAATGTAATCCTGTATTGATATATTTTAACTACTTTTGGCCTTTGAAATGGAAACTGCAAATAAAGAACAACTTGAGCTTTTTTGCCTTGTCCTCTCTGAAGTAAAGCCACCTCTAGAAAAGTTGTCGAACAAACATGACATTTGCATTCTTTACCTTGCTTGTGTGTTA